TAAAAAGAAAGATGGTAATGGAGCAAGAAAAGAGGAGAGGTATGAGGAGTGACTGACAATTAATTACAATATCATCAGCAGTATCTAATTAAAAAACAAAACAAAACACTAGCCTGGCCAGTGTGGCTCAGTGGACTGAGCCTTGTCCCACGCACCAAGAGGTCACCAGTTTCATTCCTGGTCAGAGAACATGCCTGATCCCCGGTAGGGGGCGTGCAGGAAGCAGCCAGTGGATGTTTCTATATCTCTCTCCCTCTCCCTTCCTCTCTCTCTAAAAATCAGTAAAAACCTATGTTCTGGAAAAACAACTAGATAAGAGTTTATTGAAAAGACCCCATCTAGCTTAAATTTCTCAGATTACACCTACATACTTATCTAACATATAATTTTACAGTCATAATTATATAAAGTCTGCAAGTAAAAATAAAACAATAATCAAATTAGTTTCTTTTTCTTCCATCCAATTTGTTTCTGTTTCCCCACAAACAAAAAGAATTGGCTAAAGATTGACAAGGTTCTTCATGTTTGTAAATTAATCCTCTGGTTTATGGGAAAATGCAAAACTTCAAAAAGTCTATTAAAAAATAAAGCAAATGTAAATAAGGTCCCATCACTTCATACTTTGTGTCCCCCCAAGATATATCAGTTACTATCTTTATTTGTTGCTGCTGTTGTCCTTCAATGAAGACACCATCCAGAAGGCTGAAGGTAGCTGAGTGAATTCATTCTACTCCCAATTCATTTTATTGAGTCTGTATAGAAGACTGGTTAAGAGCACAGATTTAGGAGTCAGACATCCCTGAATTTTTATCTTGACTCTGCTGATTATTAGCTGTGTGACCATGGGAAGTTACTCAACTCTCTAAGACTTAGTGTTCTCATCTGCAAGATAAGAATAATAATAAACCACTTCAAAGTACTACAAGAAATAAGATGTGAGATGAGTAGGAAGCACTTAACACAATGCCCAATCCAGTGCTTGCTGCCAAGTATTTTTCTGTTTCTAAAACAATCATCTCATATTCATTTTAGCACCTACTGTGTGACAAGCTCTTCTGACATGGATTATTGCTAATCCTCATAGCAACACTGTGGCTGGGGTGCGGGAACACGCTCTCATTTTACAGTTGGAGAAATTGTGGCTCAGAGAGGTTGAGTGGCCTGCCTGAGGTCACAAAGTAATTATGTGACTGAGTGGGAGTTGAAACAGACTCAGCCAATGTCAAAGCCCGTGCTCCTTCTACTGGGCTGAGGTGTCACACTCCGGGACGCACTCTTATGGCAGTGCGTGCCCAGAATGGGACGAAGAAAGAAACGGCACAGCAGCTTTGGAGGTCTCCAACCCTCCTGGTTTAGCATAAATCCCTCAATTATTCTTGAAGTTGGAGAAGCTTTTCAAATCTCATCTGGACATTCTTTTCCCATCAAGTTCCTTGAAATTTCCCTTTAAAGAGCATCTAGGAAAAGCCACTCTCATTAGCCAGGGTCTGGCTTTATTTTCCTAATAAACAGACCTTTGATCAGACAAAAGAGCCTCTTTTATTTTCAATCAATTCTTGAACATTTCAGCTGATTTTCTTCTATTTGGCTTGAAATTGTGATCTGGGAATGGCTGGTCCTGCAAATTGTCCTCCCATAAGGAATGCCCCTTGAGGATCCTCAACTTGTTATTTTTAATCACTGTAATCTCCTTTTCAAAGGAGGCCATGGTCAGAAACAGAGCAGGCCTTTCAGAGCTTTCTAAAGCACAATTATTGCAGAGGGATGGGGATGGGGGAGGAGGGAGGGAGAGTGGCGAGAAGTGGTGGGAGAGAGAAGGAAGTCAATATAGTACTACTAACAACTTGGAAAAGGCTGAATAATAATCTCAGTTGGATCCTGGCTATTGAGAAGAAACCCCATGTTTCAATATATATATTTTTAACAGTGATTATTTTATTCCAGTCCAGGAAGCCTAAAGGATATACTGGGGTGGGGAGCATGGAGAGCAGAAGCTATTTGGGGATGAACTGGAATACTGGGGACAAAGATTTGAGGCAGGAAAACAAGCCAAGGATTGATTCCAAGGATTGTGAGGGGCCCTAATTCAGGAAAAAGTTTAAAAAAAAAAAAAGCAAATAGAACACCAGGCGAATGTTAATTTCCACAGCCCTAAGTCAATACTCCAAGCAGAATGCATTAGACTTACTTTTCACACAATTATTCCAAGAAAGTATAAGCCAACAGAAAAATGTCAAACTAGGTCAGCACCCCTTTCTTCTTAACTCTGAGTGGCGGAATCGGGTTTGCTAATCACAGAAGCCCTCAGTGTGGTTTCTGCAAGATCTTTCTTTCAAGATCTTAGCCACCAGAAAGGAGAAAGGATGATTGCCCACCTAATAGCCTGAGTGGGGGCTTCACAGTCCAAAAGGCAACCATTTTAGGCTGGAATAACTGGAATGAAAATCTAGTGCTCCCCTTTCCCCTAGCCCCAGTTCCCACCTCCAGGCCACGGACACCTAGGCAGTCATGGGACCTCTTGGTCCATGTGAATACCTGATGCACCTCCCTCCCGGTGCTGGGGACACACACTGCTGCCAGTGCTCAGCCAAACTGGGAGGATTCCTGTGGGAGGAGGTACTCAGTAGGACTTTTGGCCTGGGCCCCATACTGGTCTGAACCACCTAAAAAATCCTCCTGGGCTTAAATTAGGAACATTTTAGGCAAGGCTCTTACCATGGGGAATCAATCATTCATTCATTCAGTTAATTCTTAAGAACCCAGAAAACCACCATTCACTGGTAGATTGGACAGGTGGAGTACTGAGAAAATCTGCTTTTAATATATCTTTGATTGATGTTTAGAGGCGGGGGGGGGGGGGAGAGAGAAACAGAAACATTGACGTGAGAGCAGAACCTTGGAACATCTATGGGCTGACTGCTGCGTGCTCCCTACCAGGGATTGAGCCTGCAACCTGGGCATATGCCCTGACCAGATATCAAACCAGCAACCTTTTGGTGCATAAGAGGACGCTCAACGCTCAACCAACTGAGCCACACTGGCTGGATGAGAAAACCTACTTTTAAACACACACACACACACACACAAAACAAATCTGACCAGGCACATCCCTCTGGTAGTAAACTAATAAAGGTTGCATATCTAACTCAAACTAACATGTACTGAAGACATCAGGCACACTCCTCTTTGTAAACTCGTTTCTTCCAGACAACCACACAGAGAGGTTGGATAAACAGCTATTTTCACAGCTGGAAAATAGACCCTGAGAAATTAAGGATTTGCACAAGGTCATACAGCTACTAAACTCCAGAGCCACATCTTTCCCTGCCACGTGGAGCAGGGAATCTGTTTCCCAAGAGAACAAATTCTCCATTTTGGGGAGGGCGAGAGAGACCAGTGGAGATATGCCCGCTTCCCTCCAGCCCACTGAGAGCATTGGTTGTTTCCCAGCCCGGCGGAGAGGTGGTGGGTTCAGCTCCTTCAGCCTTGCGCTCCCTCCCGAGCTGGGTAGCGCGTGCTCCCCGCCCAAAGTCTTTCTCCTCTTCGTGAGTCCGGAGGATCCCACCGACTCGCGCTCGTCCGAGGGGCTGCTCGCCAAGCCCTGAGCGCCTCCACATGCCGAGGGCGCCCGCAAGCCGGCTCTGGGTAGCTCCGGCTGGAGAAAGTCGGAACACAGACCCCCGGAGAAACGGGAGAAGCGTTCTGAGAAGGGTGGCCCCTGGTTCTGGTCACCTGTGTGGCTCGGGCGCCTGCGGACACTGCTCCGAACTTTCTCCGGGACCCAGGGAAGGCGGGTGTGGAAGGGCAGCCGCTGTGAACACATTTGCCCCACAAGATGCCCCAACGACCCACTTTCCCCTGCTTGGTACCAGCGTTGACTTATGAAGGGACGGAGGTGAAGAGACACGCGCCCTGTCACCCCTGCCTGAGGAGCCCCAGGTGAAGCCAGGCACCTTCCTTCCCTGCCTCTGGTTCTCTCTCCCAGCTGGAGAAGGCAGCGGCTGCTGCGGGGGAACGATGTCTGATGGGGATGGCACAGCTGAGGAGGGAGGTGGTAAGCCAGGGGTCCTCAGGTTTGTGCTGGTAAAGCTGCCAGCCCTGCCCAGAAGGCTCTCACCTACTTGGACATGCCCTCCCTCCGCTCCCCAAAGCCCGCTCTCCGCAGAGGAGCTTCGGCTCCGCTACTCCCTGGGGCACGGAGCCAGGGGTTTAGGGAGCCAAGGTCCCCGGCTTCCAGGAACCAGGCCTTGGGAATTCGGGCTTCCCTTTCCGTCTTCATCGGGTTCCCTTCTCCCCTCCCCAGACTACCCAGAGATCTTTGAAGGCCCATTCCATTGGGGGCCTGTTCTGGAAACCCACCCAGGGTCTTCTCCCTCGCCTGGGACCAGAAGAAAATAACTGGGAGTTCTTTCCTGAGACCCTTCCGAAAAGCTTCAGGCTCTTCCTCTCCTCTTTCCCATGCCCAGTTAAAGGAGAAGCTTAAAGTCCCCTTTCTGAAGGGATCTGTCGGGGAAGCTGGAGTGACAGTCCGCACTGGGGGTGTCAGTCAGAGAGAAGCTGTTATCTTTTCCTTAAGGAATGGGAGTGGGGAAAGCCAGAGTTCTCCACCTTGCTTGGGACCCAACTGAGAGAAACCAGGGTCCCTTCCACCCCAGAGACGGATCTGGGGAAAAGCGGGTCTCCACTGTTCTCCCGGAGCCCGGCCGGTTCCCCCCAAGCCAGGCCGGTGTGATGCTTCCCTTTGCTACAGCCCACGCCTGGAAACCGCAGGTCGGAGATGGGGGTTGCCTCGCCTGGCTGTGGGCCCCGCGACGGCCCCGGAACTGGCTTAGGAATTGGCTCACTGCTGAAAGGACTGAGGACAGCCAGGACAGAAGGGCCCTTGCCGGGCTGAACCGGCACTGTGCGCCCGGGGGCTGTGCGCCCTCCTCCGGTACGGCGCTGTCGGCGCCCTCCGGGGGCTGGGTCCCGTGCCCCCAATGCCGCACCACGCCACTTACCTCGGTAGCTGGTTCCCGGCTTGTAGAAGTCAGGGTCGCCCTCCACTCGGAGGCTGAACTCGGTGTAGCCCTCGCGCCGCGTGCCTTGAGCGCGCAGGATGCGGCTGCAGTAACCCTCCGACTTGGGCACTTTGTCCAGGGTCTCGTCGGAGAAGGCCAGTGCCGCGGCCAGGGGCAGCGCCAGGGCCAGCAGTGCTGGACTCCGGCTCAGCCTCAGGGGCACCGAGGACAGCCTCATCCTCGCGGGCCCCCAACTTTGTGTCGCTGCCGCTGGCCCTTGCAACGCAACTCCTGCCCGAAGGGGTCCCCGTGGAAGCAAGACCTGGCGGAGCCCGGGCGGGAAGCGGGAGCTCGGAGCCACGAGACCCTGCCTGCTTTGGCTTGGCAGCTGCGCTGAGCTGAGCTGAGCTGAGCGAGCAGAGCAGCGCGAGGAAGGGAGGGCGGCGGCGAAGGAGGAGGGAGGGCTGATTTTGCCCAGATCCCCGAGCGCAGCACTGTTTTGTTTCCGAGCTGGCGATTAGCTGCTCTTCTGTGTTTATTTTGCAATGCTGATTCCCAGGGTCTGGCGAGGGAATCTAGGATGCAGGGACACTGTGGGCTCTATCCCACCACCAAGGAGGCTGCTGCCCAAACCTCCACTATGCTTTGGACCCCGTGGAGCAGGGTGCCGGAAGGAGGGCAAGACAGAACTAACTTTTGTTGCACACCTACTCTGTGCCTAGCTATATGCTGGGAGGTTTACTTAAGGTATCTGCTCACCTTCTCTACTCTCACTGCACACAATAACCATGACATTACTTTCACTCTTTGTATGATAAGCAGCAAACTGAGGCCTCAGCCCAACGGTTAAGGCAGCGTCAGATGCCATGCCTACCTGACTATTGCTCTTCCCATAGCGGCTGTTGGAACAAGTCAGACTGGAGGATGCGAAATGGACTAAATAACTCATCCACTGGGTCCAGTAGGCACAGTACCTACTGCCTGTCATACTTTTGGAGATTCCTGAAACGTTTTCTTTAAACTCAGAAGAAAGAAAACTAGGTCCAATAAAATGTTTCACTGTATAACATCAATATTATATATACATACATGGTCATAAATATAATGTTTGCTACTGTTTCATGGGAGGAGTTTATGAAGACAAAAGTGCCTAACGTCTGCTAGAGTCCTCATATAGCCTCGGAAAGGAGTTTTGAATGGCTCAAAGAAAAGCTTGTATTTTCTTGGCTTAGATTTTAGTTCAGGTTCTCAAGCCCTAGTGACAGATGTTTGGAGAGGAGCTGAGCCTGAGGACTCGCTGGGCAGAGCCCTGGGCATCAGCCCCAAGGCCAGACAGCAGAAGGCCCAGGTGCAGAAATTTCTCCCAGTGTTTGCCTAGGGACAGACCTGAATCAAACCTTAGTCCTGCCACTCACCCACTGTGAGACTTGGGGGAGTTATTTAACCTCTCCAAGCTTTCATTTAATGCTCCAGAGAAGGTGCTGGTGTATGCTGTGGGCCAACACACTTTTCTTCTAGGGTTTGCTAGAATCAAATGAAATGACCCACATAAAACTTGGGCTGATCTCCTGTGTCCCTGACCCCTTCATCCCTTCAATGGGTGAGTCTGTGCTGGCCCTGAGTGTCACAGCAATGACCAAGCTTACCTTGGAGGTGCCTTCGGCCTCAGCCTCCCCTCAGTGTGCACATCCCTACCTAGGTGCTCTCAAAAGCTTTGATGGCCCAGCTCCTTCTTCCCCTGGGCAGTCAACACATCAAGGGACATACTTAAAAAGTAATCGCCTTTGCTTTTGAGGTCACGTTTTTCTCTTGGACGTCACTAACAAACAGCCTGGAGGAGCCATCTGCATTGGAGGTCTCCATTCCTCTTCACCTGTCCTCTTACTCCTCAGTTCTCATGCTGGGACTCCCGCCACCACTATTAACTGGACACCTTTTCTCAGAGGTCACCAGAGAGTGCCCCCTTGCTGAGGCCATGACTGTATGCTCTTTTCTCAGCCCGGATCCTTCTGGACCCTCAACAGCACTCGACCTAGCTGTCTAGCCTTCCTTTATAAAAGTGACACTCAGATTTGCATTTGTACCCTGAGTGAATGATCTCCAGAGTCACTGTATTGGCTTGGAGCTCATGCTAGACTCCATGGTGCACAATACCAGTCATATAGCAAGTTTGCATTGAGTGTAGATCTGGCCAAGTGTGAGCTGAGCAGTGGGCACCAGAGAGAACAAAAATTTATTCATTCATGTGGAAGGCTCTCCATGTGCTCAGCTCTGGGACACAAGGCATATTATTGCCTTTGTGGATGTTACAATCCTATGGGAAAGGCAAATATTAAATACAGTTACACGAGTCTCTGCAAGTTATAATTGTGATATATGCTACAAACTAAGTGGTCAAATTAAGAGTATATCCAATTTTTATCCTGGAGGACAGGAAACTACAGAGATGCATATCATGGGGCTCCTGTTTCACAAAGCTTATTATGTGTTCAGTAGCCCAAATTCATGCTCTTGACTGTCTTTTCATCTAAATCAACACATTCAAATCTAACATGGAGGTGGGTGGCATGGAGCAGGCTAGGATGTAATAGTTAATTTTTTAATGGAACACTGACAGGAAAACCATGTCACATAGGTCCATTTTTCCTCCCAACTCCTATTTTCCAGATTAGGAACCTATAAAATTACCTGTGTAGGTGCCACAGCTAGTATGGGGAAAAGAACTAGCATTCAAATCAGGCCTCACCACCAACAAAATGGGGTTCTTCCCACTAGACAGTGGTCATCAGGGCAATGACAGCAGGCTCCAGGCAGCCCATCATGCTTCAATGCCACTGCCCAGCTCTACTGTCACAGCAGACCCCTGCTCTCTTCGCACATCTAATCCATCACCGAGTCATCGGTTTCCCCTTCCAACTACCTCCTGAATCCGCCCAGCCCTCTCCCCCTCTGCCACCACGGCGGTCTGAGCTGAACCGCCTTCTAACTGGACTGCCCCCATCTACTCTTGCGCCCCTCCAATCTGTCTTCTGCACTGAAGTCTGGATGATCCTTTTAAAAATGCAGAGTTGAATGTCAATCCCAAGGTTAAAATCTTTTTTCAGTGGCTTTTCAGGGCTCTCAGGACAAAAACAGAGTCTTCCATGTGGCCTGCAAGGCCCTACTGGACGACCCCTCAGGCCATGCACGCTTTTTCTCATGGGCTCCAGGCACCGTGGCATCTCCGCTTTGTGAACTTCCCCCTGTGCGGCCGCCTGGAAGCCTGCGCTCTCCGACTGTGCCACCATCACCCTCTCCCAGCCAACTCCTATGCCCCCTTTCGATCTCAGCGTAGACCTGCTTCCTCAGAGACATCCTTCCTGATTTCCCAGAACAGATCCTGCTCTTCCTAATATGTGCCTTCTCTCTTAATGTTCTTAAGATTTATAATTACTTATTCATTTATACGTTTGATTTTTACATTTTGCATTTGTTTGGTGTCTGTCTCTGTCCCTGGATTCTAAGCTCTATAAGGGCAGGGGCGGTCTCCGGAGCTCACTGCTGTATGCTCCCTGCACACCTGGTGCCTTCTCCACAAACACTTGTTCTAGGAATAAAAAGTATTTAACTGTCCCCCAGTACCCTGTGACTCAACTCAGCTTCTTCAAGTGACCTCAAGGCCCTCCACAGTGTCTGTCATAGGTCCCGGGCTCAGCTCCCAGTGCCACCCAGCTGGGTTCCCTTGTCCCCCACTTTCAGACTTGACTTGGCACATTTGCTTATAGCTTTCCCATCACCTAGGATGCCCTTCCTCCTCCTGCCCGTTCAAATTCTCCTCTCCTCCACGGAATGAGATCTCTTGTTCTCTCCTCTGGACTTCAGTAGACCTAGGAGGAGAAAGTTTCTTATTTTGACTATTGTGTTCCGATGGATTGTCATGAACTATTGTGTCTGGGTCTCATCTCCTAGCAATGAGTCCAGTTTACTTTCTGTTTAATTTCCTGTTCTGATGTTTTTGTTCTGTTGTAAAATATACTGGACTTTAGGAATCTCTTTCCAGTTTTGTAGCTTAAGGCAGAGCTGATGTTAGTTGCTAGGATGTTGCTAGGGAAAGTCATTTAGCCAGGGCAGATAATTAACTTTATCAGTGTGTGTGGGAAAGTCATAGAAGAGAAGAGCTGGGGCTTCACGTCTCCAAGGGGGCAAAAAAAAAAAATTGCTTTGATTGGAAAAGGTGAGATTAGCACCGCCCTTCCCTCCCCTCAAACACACACACCTCTTTGAGAGAGAAGGAAAGAAAAAGGAGTCTCTAGACTAGTGTGTTTCTGAGTATGGTCACTGAAACACAAGCATCAAATATTTGCCTCAAATGCAGAGTCCAAAGCCCCATCCCAGACCTACTGAATTTGCACTTTGAACAAATGCAAACTGAAGTTGAGGGAACCGCTGTCCCAGAGCTTATAACTCAGACTTGAGGTTCAGCCACCCTCTAACTTCCACTGCTCCGAGGACCTTAGCTGCCCCCCCCAACCATTCTCAGCTTTGGAAATCTTCGCTCTTAACAGCCCTCTCTCATTCTGCCTTCAGCTTTCCCGCTTCCTCACCCCTTTGCACTGACTGACTCCTCCGTCGCTGAGACCCACAGTTGCTTCATCACTTCTGACTGTCCCACCTGTCTTGTCGTCGATTCCTTCCCCACCCAGACTGGACACCATGTTTAACCATTTCAGCTGCATTCTCACCAACACTCTTCCTCAGGTCACCTCCTTCATTCCTCTAACCAGCCCCCTCCCCTGGATCAACTAAGCAGAACATCGGAACCATCCCAGACTCCTGAGTTCCGCTGCATCAGACCTGGTAACCCCACTAAGACCCTTACGACAAGCTCATGAATTCTGTTCTTACCATCATTGTTATATTTATTCCTAATCAGTTTTTTTCCCATTCTCCATAGTGCCTGCTCTCTTGCTTCTAGTCCTTATCATTTTTTTTTTTCAAGCTTGCTATATCACTTTTTGTTATTCTCACTCTTTGGTCTCTTACTTCACCCTCAAATAAAGGTCATCAGACATGAACTTCCTCATGTCTCTGTCTCCTCTATCCTCACACCAAACTCTGGCAAAACCCAAGTTCACTTCAAAACCCAAAGTTTTGATTCTTTACTTCTTCCAAGGCTAATCCCGTCCTGTGTCCTTGTACCCCCCCCCCCCCCTTCTGCTGAGCACTGAGCGGGCTGTGATCCTCTCTCCCTCTTGTGTTTGTTTCGCTCCTGTCCATGTCCTGAGCCTGCAGACACGGCTCAGTCTCCCCCATCCTGGAAGGACAGCAGCGGTGGTTGGGGGGTGGGGTGGCACTAGGCATGACATTGGACCCGTCATCAGTTTTCTCTCCCTCTCCAGATGTTCTCTTACTGTGTTTCAGAGTCAAACTTGCTGAAAGAGTT